TTAAACAATTTTGTTTCAAAGTAGAAAGGGGAATAGCAATAGAGGTAACTGACCTTCCATGGCAACCAGGGGCCAGATCTTTCTTGCATAATAACTAATTGCGACTTATTTCCCCAGAAGTTTCTATTCTAAGAAACAGTATGATGAACGGTAAGTCACTTACTGAACTGATTGCGACCCAAAAGGAAAAATCTAAAATAAAAACTAAAAGTGGCTGATTCCCAGCAGAGAGTAAAATTTGCAATGCAACCTGCAATGGACAAAGCCAGGAGGTCTCTAGTAAATGGTTTTCTTTTCAGCACTGCCCAATCATGATGCAGCAAAAGACATTAGTTAAATATCATCTACCGATATTCAAAATGAGTCTTCATTTTTAGCAGCCTGTTTAGCAGAAAGGGTGCTAAATATAAGTCAGTCATATGGTTTAACTGACCAGTTAAGTGCTTGGGGAATAATACCCCTAATATTGCAAATAATCACTGCCCTTAATCAAGCCTGAAATAAATCAGGAATTCCTTAATGAAAAGTAGACAACATAATCAAATTTAGTGAATATAGGGCAAGATTACTTTTGCCTGCTGCAGTGATTCAGTGTAATGCAGGCTGGAGGAACAGTATCTCATTTTCCGTATTTTACGGCCTTTAGTGCTCAGCATTGAGTTCAACAACTTCAGATCGGGAACTCTGTCCTCATGTTAACTAATACTTGCCCCCCGTCCTTCCTCCACATCCCCTATAATCTTGTTTACATGGGTTTGCTCTCCAGGGAGTTGACCCATTTTTTTCCATGACTCTTCATTCATCTCTTCTCTACTACCATTAGCATTCCTTTACCATCTGTTCCATTTGCTCCTCATTCCCCCTTTTCCTGCAGCATAAAACCTGTCACTTTTCTCGGTTTTGAAATACAGTCACATTGTAATTGAAATGTTAACTTTATTTCACTGTCTACAAATGCTGCCTTATCTACTGAGTTTTTTCCAGCAATTTGATTTTAATTTTGTGCTAATTCATGATCACTTCTCTTCCAAGAACACCCACCTTGAAGGTGGGATTTCTATTTGAATCTTTCAGTTTGTTCACCTTCATTGCTTTTTAGCTCCATCCCAGTATCTGATAAGGGGTTCACCAAAACTCGTTTTCATAACCAAATCTCTTTCCTCAGTGACTGCCTTCAGCTGCATCATACTCACAGGTAAAGCAATTGAAGTTCCATCCTTCATCCAGATAAGACTTTATGCATCTTCAAGACATACTACACTTCTTGGATAGGTATCTTGCTACATTCTGAGATGCACACTCTGTTTCCATCAGCACCGCCTCACACTATCTCAAAGCTATCAGGTCCCCTGTTTCATTTCATTCTTCATCTCAGTTATTGCCTTAACAAGAAACATTCTCCCTTTTAGAGTAATTAGGAACACAGGCACCAACAACTCACAGGTACTGATGCCCTTCTGGATCCTTCCTTTCCTCCTCATCCGTCTGACCACTTCTACTCTTCTCATCCCACTTCTGTATTATGTACTCATTATTACCCAATGCTGAAAGATCTGTGTTCAACAAAGGACTTCGTTTTATCACTTCATGTCCCTGCCTCAATGGATTTCGAGCATGAGAGTGAGCTCTTCTTCCACAATCTTCATCTTCATGCCCACTTCTCTGAACAGGAATCCTCTACCTACTCCATGACATCTAGGTCTACAAGTGATCTGGATAACATCTGCAAACTATTGGTGGAGCCTAGGATCTATAGTGGAACAATATAGTAGCACTTAACATCATCTCGCAATTGTGACATTTAAGGACAAAGAAAAATTAATGCCACTGCTGTTTGCCTGTACCATCTGGGCTTAAATTGACAGAGAAGAGTGCAGCATGAAGGAGTAGGCAGGGAGGACTGCAGACACCCGTAAAGAATATAAGACCAGGAAGGTTTCCTCTTAACTATGCAAACCTTACTACTCATCGTTTTCGTGTTTGTCATGCACAAATCTTCAAATACACTAAGGTGCTGAACAGAAAAACTGCTCCCTTATTTTAGTTAAGTTCAAGCCCATGGAGAGAACATGAAGAAAATTTACTAAAATGATACAAGGAACAAGAGGCTTTAGTTAGCGGAAGTGACTAGAGAACTGGAGCTCAGGTGAATTTTGATCAAGTAAAGTGATAAAAATATATTTCCACTGGTCAGTAACTTAATTTGGGCTCCAGGTTTATCATCAATAACAAAAAGAAGGAAGAATCTAGAAGTTTTTGTTTTACTCAGACTGTTGTTTTCATATTGAATGTCCCACCAGAAACAACAGTTGAAACAGAAATGTTTACAGGGCACAATTAATTGAGTAGAAAGCGATCTGGGGCTAATAGTAGGACATTAGCTTTCATTTGCCAATTGGACAGATCAACACTAGGACAAAAAAACTAATTCAATGCTTCGATATGCAGCCAGAATTGTAAAACAGAAATATATACAAACTTTCCTCAGGCTTTCATTGCATTAGTCAGGCCACAGCAAAGCATATTATATTAATTGTTTAATCATTCCAACACAAAAGAAACCAAGAATTGGAAAGGATATGGAAAAGACAATATGCTGAAATAGGTGAATTATGAGATAAGAATAAAGAATCTTGACATTCAGTATCTGGGGGAAAAAAAATGTCTAAAGTTGTATCTCAAGGTTATTGAAAACTTAGATTATCTAGATAACATTAAGATTTTTAATTTAATGCAAAACAGAGAAGTATCAGAGAACATCAATAAAAATTAATTTTCAGAAATTGAATGATTGTTAAGAGCTTGAGGTAATTTGTTGGTTCAGCGATAGTGGCTAAAAAGTTGAGATTGTTAACAAAACAGAGTTGAAGTTTTGATACAAAAGAGTTAGGCTACTAAAGGAAAAATCTTTTCTTAATCCTAACTTTATCTGTATTCATATGTCATCAGGGATTGGATATTACAATGTAACTAAGGATTTCTAATATTCTATGCAGTTCATTAACACTGCAATGTTAGAAATTCAAATAACTGGGTATTAACAGCTTATTTAATTTTGGCAGCCTATTTTCTAATCTTTGTAATCTGAGTTTCCACGATAACTGCCTCCTTCAAAAAAAAAGCAGCTTATTATTCTCTGGCTAAGTAAATTATTTCCTACATCTAGTTGATGAATCTAACCTAATAGTACATTAAAAAAATGAATAGTTTTTAAAAGAATAAAATACTGACAATAGACAAATCTGGTTTTTCCTATCTAACCCTTCCGTTTTCTACAATTTGCATGGTTTATACTATCCGTCCCATATTCTACTTGCCTTAATGTTTCTGTAAATGCTTGTAATTCCGTTCATATAAAATTATGGTGATTTGGAAAATCGTAAATGGTTTATTGGATAAGTCCACCGCATTATTTGAAAGTAAGCTAAAGAACTCATTCTTGATTTCTGTCTGTACTGTGTTACACTATCTCCGAACTCTGTAATGTTATTTTCTAGTTACTCCGTTCCAGTGATTCCAAAGCAAAGTTTATATGTATCTGCATTGTGTGTGGTGTTCCTATAGCTGAATAGCTTGTTGACTCAGCATTTACTCAGACGTGAAAGATGGGTAAGTGGACAAAATTCTGTAGGACTGCCACTAACCCCAACACCATACTACAGATTGAGTCAGTGCCTTCAGTTGGATAAAAGACAATTGGTCTTTTTAAATAGTTTAAGTCTACTACATCAAGGAGACTATAGTTTTCCAAGTAACATGATTCTGTAAAGGATACATGGAAGAAAATAAATTTATTTTTAAAAATGGGATACAAATTTATCCAAACTATGGGAAATAATAGTCCAATGATTTACACATACACTTGATCCAGGAATTTGCATTCTTTAACTCAGGGATTAATTTCTGCTTGGTTATGTTAGAAAAGAAATAGCATTCTGAGAATGTTCAAGTGTTTACCTTTATTACTTAGGCTTTATTAAGACGACAAGTCAGTTCCTAGAATTGGATAATTAACCAAATACTTGCTACTAATTACTTTTACTATGCTATGTACCAGCTGTACATCTGCCATTACTGGAATTGACACTGTAAACTACAATTGATGATATATAGCAATTCCAACTTCTGATAATTATATTGTGGTTGGTATGTATTCCATACAGATTACTGCTGAAAGAAGTATAGAATTTAATACTGAATGTATGAAATAATGTGATTTCTAATCTGCATCTTGGCTGTAAAAATGTATTTCATAGTTATGGTTCTTTCATTGTCCGTAAACATTTAAATGTGGGTCATTACATTGTTAAATTTATTCTCCTTCACAAGTTCCAGCATTTTTCTTTTGCCATCTTTTAGCCTTTTTTTCAGTCTTAGACTTCTCGCGACGTCCATCATTCCTCTTCCTGAAGCCTGTCTTTTCTGCAGTTAACTACATACCAACATTTCTTTCACAGTTGGAGACACATCCCAATTCCTTAGAAAGAACCTTAACTGGCACCCCAAGTGAGGTCCCATCATGAAACCAGTAAATGGGTGAGGGGAGTGCAGGAGCTTAATAGCCAACTTTGAAAGAGATGTGTCTTTTTTTTTTTTAAGTTGTGCATAGGATGTAGTGTCACTGTTTATTTGCTGCCCATTCTTCACTGCCTTGCTAGGCCATTTAAGATGGCCAGCTATGAGTCAACCACATTACTGCAAGTCTAAAGTCTCATGTAGGCTAGACCAGGTAAGGACAACATATTTCCTTCTCTAAAAGACATTAGTGAAGCAGATGGGTTTTTAATGTCAACTGACATTGGTTACAAGGTTGCGATTAGACTAGCTTTTAATTCCATTTTTTTAAAAAATTGAATTAAAATTTTTATCTGCCATGGTGGGATTTGAACCCAGGATGAGGATGGGCTTCGGCTTCTCCAGTGACATTACTACAATGTCATTGCTTCTCCTTTGTTAACAATTACAAATGTTAATGTGAAGTTATATTATTCTTACTTTACCTGACTGTACATATATCTCAACATGAAGTCCATAAGAAATGATTTCCCTTTCCTGAAGGCACCAGCGACAGATAAGGCAACCACTTCCCGATCTCTAACTTCTTCTGAAAGAAGGATTTTGTTCAGAGCCATTTCATCCAGTTCAAAAGTATGGTCATCATTAACAACAAGAATCTGAACTGGTCTGGCTTGCTGCACTGCTTCATCTTCTGATGTCCAATTGAAGCTTCCCTCTGAAAATCCGCCTACAATCAAAGTTTTAAAACATTAATAAAATAGTTCACTCACTCTGTTTAATACAAATTTGAAATATAGACACTGAACAATCAACAAGACACAATTGAAATTGGAAAAGTACTTATGCCAAGTGTACACTTTAAATCTCTCCTTGTCATATGGGATCAGCTATTTTTTATCCAAAATGATCATCTTACATAAATATTCATATTTAGACACTGGACAGAGGTCTCCTGTTAGAAAAGAGGGCGTCTCTCTTTGTCTGCAGAGGCATAAGCAGGCTTTGCAACCATCACTGACCTCCTTCCTCTAACCAAAAAATAATGGCCTGGCAGGAAGGTTTCAATTGGCATTATGACAGGCAGCTGACTGAGGCCTTGCCCACAGCTCATCAAAACACTGTCACTTGTGGGTAGGCAGCTAAGTGACAGGAAAAACAATCAGAGAATTTCATGGATTTTTTTTAAATTTAGAGACCATTGTGAAAATAATTTTATTCAATATTTCCAGCACCAGGAAAACACCCTTGTGGCCAGTGAACCAGTGACTAGCAAAGCCCGATAAGGGCAATTCTTACATGGAGAACGTGAAGGGGGACGGTAGGGATTAAAATCAAAAGGGGGAAATAAATACTCCACCCCCAACCCCCCACCACGTTGCCCACCTCTCCCTAAAGGCATCAAGAGCATTGGTGGACACCGTGTGCTCCTTCTCCAAGACCCGGGCTCAAACATAACCACGGAACAGGGGCAGACAGTCAGCAGAAATGACTCCCCTCCACACCCTGCTGCCTAGACCTGTTTACTGCCAGCGTGACCAGGCCCAGACAATCCTGTTTATATCTGTTAGCCAGGACTCCTTGATTGAACCAGATTAACAGCACCAGTGAACTCATATTCTATGAGGTCTATCAAGCTAACCTTGTTATAATCACTACAACCCTCCCCCTCTAGGTCTGGGGCGCATAGGCCTGTTCTTTCTCTTATAGCCTCCCCTGAGGTGTTTTTGCATTGGGTCCGGTTCCTCCAATACGGGCGGCATGTACCAGTCTGTATCTTGCCCGTTGTGTCCAAAGCGTCTCAGAAGCAATTCATCCTCTACTTCAGGCAGGAAAGGCATCGAGACTGCAACATCCACTGTGTCCATCTGAGACTCCAAGGTTTCTTTAACGCTAGATGGAGGGGAGAACACATGGGTTTCAACAGTTTTTCTGGCTGATCAGAGGTGCCAGGTATGCTTTGCTCCTGTCACGTTTGCGAGTTTTCAGCTTTCATATGGTCCACGTGCTTGTTCAGGACCGCCTCACATACTGGAACTTAGTACATCACAGGACCTAGCCTCATGTCGATCATGCCTCTTACCCATGCAGGGCCACTGCAGTAAACTCGCTCTCTCGCTTAGTGGAGTCTGGCATCTGGCATTGACGTTCCTGATGCCCTTTCACCTCTCCTCCCCAAGGTCTGGGAAGATCAGATTTAACCTGGTGCAGAATCTCCTCCCCATTTGCAACTCTGCTGGAGCTATCCCAGTAGTTGCATAAGGAGTGATCCGATAATCAAATAAAACTGGGACAGTTTGGTATGGAGTGAAGCTGTAGGCTATTTCTTTAAGCCTGCCTTCAAAGTTTGGACTGTTCTTTCCGTCAGATCATCAGATGATGGATGATAAGGAGTTGTCTTTACATGCCAAATGCTATTCGGTTTTAGGAAGTATTCAAATGCCCTGCTGGTAAATGATGGCCAATTGTCTGTAACCAACCGTTCTGGGAGTCCAGGTATTGCAAACAATGCTTGTAGCTTTTCTATCATCATTCCCGTGTTTGACAAATGCACTCTATGCTCATCCAGCACTTTGAGTGGGAGTCCACAATGACTAAAAACGTTGAGCCCATGAAAAGGCTAGCATAGTTGACCTGAAGGTATGGGTGGCACAGCCTTGTCCTCTTTGAATAGCCCTGGCATAGGTTTATGGTCTGTTACTATTACAAATTTATGGCCATAAAGGTATGAATGGAAATTTCTCACAAGCTTTCCTTCTCTATCTGGACATGTTTGCACCTTGCATCAGCCAAAGTCTGGGAAGCATACATTATTGGGCACTCATCTCTATTGGGCCATCTGTAAGCCAACACTACCCTGATACCATACAGAGAGGTATCACATGTCAGCACAGATCTCACTTAGGATCACAGTGTGCCAACACTTAGCTGATGATAGCTGCTTCTTCACTCTAAAGGCTATGTCTTGGCTACAAGACCATTTCCAAGGCTGACCCTTTTTCAATAGTGGATGTAAGACTGCCAGGATGGAGGGCAGGTTACATATGAACTGTCCGTAATACTTCACCAATCCAAGGAAAGACCTAAGCTCCAGTACAGAGCCAGGGCACCTTGAATCACCCTCACTTTATCTTCCATAGGGTGTAACCTGGTCTTGTCAATTCTGCAGCCCAAGCTCTGGAACACACAATTTTCCCTTCTAAGGCGTATGCCCACCTTGGAGAAATATCCAAGGACTATGTCAAAGTTCTCTAAGTGTTCTTTATTGGTCTTCCTTGTGATTAGCACGTCAACCAGGGTAGACCTTGTAAAATGTTCTCCATCGTCCGCTGAAAAATGGCACAGGCTGATGATACCCAAATGGCAGTCTCATTTATTGGTACAAACCCTTATGGGTATTAATTAAAGCATACCTCTGAGAATCCTCATCTAACTACAATTGCAAGTATGCATGGCTCACATCCAATTTTGTGAAGGACAGACCCCCTCCCAGCTTTCTGTATTAGTCCACTATGCGAGGGACCGGGTAATTATCCAGCTGTGAGGCAATTTACTGTTTGTTTAAAATCCCCACAAATGCAAACTGACACATCAGACTTCTCAATCAGTAAGACCGATGCTACCCATTCGCAAACCGATGATTCCTTCGCTTTCCAGCCTTCTGACTTATGCCTCGACTTTTGCCCCTAAGGCATGCGGTACTGGGTGGGCTGGGCAGATTCATGGAATTGCTTCCTGGTCAACATGCAAGGTGGTCTTGGCTCTTTTGATGGTCCCTAGACCTTCCTGAGAAACTTCCATGTATTTAATTAGGACTTCACTCAGGCGGCCTTTTTCTAATCAAGAATGTTGAGCAAATCTGGGTGAATCTTTCTCAACTCATTCTGCCCCATCAGGCTTTGGCCCGAGCCTTTTACTACAATCAGTGGTAACTGAACCAGCTGCTTCTCATCCAAGACAGGAACCGAAGTTTCATCATTAATTGTAAAAGTTCCCTGCTATAAGTTCTCAGTCTAGCCAAGGTCTTAAGCAAACTTGAGGGTTGGAGTTCAGAGTGAATTTTGTTAAAGACTGGTTCTGCAATCATTGATACATGCGTGCCAGTATCAACCTCCATGAGAACCGGGTGATCATTTAACCAGACGTTTAGAACATAGAACATAGAACAGTATAGCACAGTACAGGCCTTTCGGACCATGATGTTATGCTGACCTATTATCCTACTCTAAGATCAAACTTACTATCAGCCATGTGCCTCTCCAAGAGTCACTTCAATGTTCCTAATGTATCTGACTCTACCACCACGGCTGGCAGTGTATTCCATGCACCCACCACTCTTGTGTAAAGAACTTGTGAGGTATGACCTACCCCTCACGAAGCCATGCTGACTATTTCTAATCAAACTATGCTTTTCCAAATAATCATAAATACTATCTCTCAGAATCCTCTCCAATAATTTACCCACCACAAAAGTAAGACTGACTGGTAATTCCCAGGATTATCCCTATTCCCTTTCTTCAACAAGGGAATAACATTTGCCACCCTCCAGTCATCTGGTACTACTACAGTGGACAATGAGGACGCAAAGATCATCACCAAAGGCGCAGCAATCTCTTCCCTCACTTCTTGTAGTAACCTTGGGTATATCCCGTCCGGCCCAGGGGACTTATCTATCCTCATGTATTTCAAAATTTCTAGCATATCCTCCTTCCTAACATCAACCTGTTCAAGCATATCAGCCTGTTTCACGCTGTCCTCACAAACGACAAGGTCCCTCTCACCAGTGAATATTGAAGCAAAGTATTCATTAAGGACCTCCCCTACCTCCTCCCACACCAGGCACAAGTTCCCTCCACTATCCCTGATGGGCCCTACCCTCACTCTGGCCATCCTCTTATTCCTCACATAAGTACAGAATGCCTTCGGGTTTTCCTTAATCCTACCCGCCAAGGCTTTTTCATACACCCTTCTAGCTGTCCTAAGTCCATTCTTCAGTTTCTTCCCGGCTACTGTGTAACCCTCTAGAACCCTGTCTGATCCTTGCTTCCTCAATCTTAAGTAAATTTCCTTCTTCCTCTTGACTAGATGTTCCACATGTCTTGTCACCCAAGGTTCCTTCACCTTACCAGCCCTTCCTTGCCTCAGTGGGACAAACCTATCCAGTACTCCCTGAAAAACCTCCACATTTCGGTTGTGCATTTCCCTGAGAACATCTGTTCCCAATTTATGCTCTACAGTTCCTGCCTAATAGCATTGTAATTCCCCCTCCCCCAATTAAATACTTTCCCATACTGTCTACTCCTATCCCTCTCCATTTACTCTGGTTCTGATTTGGATGTTGCTATGCAATTTAACCTAGGAAAAGATTTGCTTGCCATATAATGAGTGTGGCAGAGATTCATTAGGCTGAAACTGGGGGTGGCAAGACTGGTCTATGAGGAAAGATTGGTTTGACTGGGACTGTATTCACTGGTGTTTAGAAAAACGAGGAAACTGATCGAAAAGTATAAAAATTCTAACAGGGCTGAATAGTTTTGATAGATATATTCGAAAAAGCTATCGATAAACTTTTAGATTTTAATGGCATTAAGGGCCATGGAGAGAAAGTGGGAATATAGCATTGACATATAGGTTCAGCCATGATCAGACTCAATGGCAGAATAGGCTCAAGGGGCTGAATGGTCTATTCCTGCTACTAGTGTCTATGTTTCTAAGTAAAATGGTTTTGCT